AAAAAAGTGAGCACTCCATATGATGCCTTATTTGAATTTGCATTTACACATTCCTCATTTGAATTTATAATTAAATATTCTGTCTTTTTAAAAGCTATATTAATGAGGATGATCTAAGTCAAAGAAAAAACTGATTTCATATGATATTATGCATTTGAAAGTCTTTTGAAAATTGCTAAACATGACATTATTACTATTTTAAAGCATCTTTGGAAGAGTATATTCAACTCACAATTTAAAATTATGTTCTTTAAACATACTTTATCAGATATTCACCTTTTCTCATTTAAATATTATAAATGATAAAAGAAATCTTTCATCATTCATCAAAAGAGGCAGTTTGAAGAGTGGGGGAAACATAGCTGGCCCAGTAATTCACCAGGGTTGAGAACAAAAAGAGAAAAAAGGCTCATGCTTTAAATGCACAAATTATAAAGAATGAGCTATATAAATCATTTTGCAATATCAAGTAAATAATTAATATTTTAAAGCATTGTTGCATAGAAGATAAATAAATAGAATTATTTGTTACCTCAATTTAAAACCCATAATGTTTATACATACCTCTTTAAAGCACAAAGTTAATGTTTCAGTATAGGCAGTGTTCTATTTATAAACAAACAAACAAACAAATAATACATATATGTGTGTGCGTGTTTGTGTGGCATGATATATATTTTATACACAAAATCAGAATTTTTCTCCTTTGTTTCACTCATTTTCTGTTTTATCATGAGCCTCATTTTACAGGAGACAAAATCTAGTAAAGTTTGATGAGGATGCAGGGGCTGCTAGTTGGGAAAACTTCCATTACCCTAGATGGATGTCACAGTATCTGCGCCAGTGGAGGGTTTTCATTGAGGTTAGCTCTTCTTTCCTCATGGGTCTTTTATTTTTGTCTACTTTATCTTCCTCTTTTGTGATTCTTTCCTTTTCCAAAACATTTAAATAAATGTTTGTTTATTTTAAATTTCATTTATTAAATATTTTACTCATCTGTTGACAAATAAAGTCCTATGTCTTGTATTCTTGAAAACTGCAGAGAGAGTAGATGTTAAGTTCTCTCACCACACACACATACACACATACACACACACACACACACACACACACACACTCTCACAAAATGATACGCATATGCCTCTGTTAACTGTTAATTAACTCTGTTAATTAACTACATACACCCCACAAGGTGTACGTAGTTCTACCTTTCTTTTTTATTTAGCTTCCTGGTACCTTGACTTTGCTTCAGGACTATCTCTGGGACACAGCGCAGCTCTGTTCCTAGGAAGATCCTCATTGTCTAACCATGCTTCCTCCCCTGTCATAGTCTCCTGCCCTACCAGATCTGTTTCCAAGGGACTTTCATATTCCAAATTCAACTCACAAAAGAATTCCTTGTGATTTCAACAGCCAAGGTACTCATCCATCAACAAAAGTGGGTGGAAACTTTGATGTTGAAAATGTAGTTGGGAAAGGAAGGGGCAGTCCAGAGTTAAGAGTGACATCAGACAAGATGGTGTGGAAATGAGGGACCACCAAGAAAGGGACTGATCCCCTCTCTGCTCAGCCATACCTGAGCTAATCAAACTGAGCCTTGAGATTCAAAGGTGAAGTTTTTGGAAGACAGAAACTTGTCCAGCATGAAGGGTGGGCTGGGGCTCCCTCCATTCTGTGCAGTGACCTTCCTAAGCAGGCCAGTCTCACACTGCCATGGCCCTGCTTCCGAGGTTCCCCTTCCTGCACAGACACTTCAGCCTATACTGCAGGCTTTTTCATCCTTCTTACTCTCAGGCTGTCTCCCTCAGCATCAGCTCTCTTGCCACAAATGAAATTATCTTCTCCATTTTGTCTTAATGTCCCACCTCCACCTATCTTTGCTCCTGATTTTGCCCATCCATCCTTCCCTCCAGCATTAGGGAGATTAAACAAAACAAACAACAACAAATGAGAAAAAAAAAAACAAAGAAATTGCCAATTATTTTCTTGCCTTTCAGAAGCACTAATAATCTAGCAATTAAGCCATACTTCTCTAGTAGATTCAGGATTCTCCTGACCTTCCCTCACCCCTAGGGATCCCTAGGGACTGGGTCTTTGTAATGACAGAGGCTATATCTGGAAAGCCTGTCCACACATTATTAACTTTTTAAGTTCATGTAATCTCACGATTTCCATGATGTCTCCTTTGACATTTTGATTCAGTTCTAGGTGAATCCTTTTCTGAATAGTATCACGAAATTCAGAAATTATTTACTAATAGTTTATAACTATTTGTCTGTCGTCTCCAACTTGATAATAAGTTTGAGAGAAGGGATAACATCTTGTGAATCTTTGAATGCCAACACTCTCTGAGTGACTAAAATAATGCAATCATTTTCCTAGATTCTTTCAAGCCTGGACAGAGTTTTAACTTCAGTCTTTAAAAGACCCATTTCTTCACAACCTAAACCAGGTTAAAAGAGGAAAGTTTATTTTAATCACAGAGAAAAGAGGTTTTTATAATTGCATTATTAGAAACACTGTGTGGAAACAGTTGTTTTATCAACTTATTTGGTTTCTCTAATAGTTTCCACATATCCCTACTCCCCCTATGTTGCATAATTAAAATGTTCATATCATCAGTTTTCTTCTTCTGAACATTAATTATTCTGAATATCAATGTCTGACCTCACATCTAAAATTCATATTTTTACTTCTGATCTGTAATGATGTCATGCTATGCTTATTGATCTCAAAAATTATGTTTCTAGAGATACATGTATTGAGGAATTTTTAGTTTGTTATATTTTACAAAATTCTACATACCTTCTTTCCTAATTAATTAATAAAAGGTGTCTCTGTAACATTGTTTATAGCAATAAAAAATCATGCAAGAGATTCTGTTGGTTTTTTGTTAATTTAGAACATTTGCTGAAAGGTGATTGCTACCGATTCATTTTCTGCAAAACACTGCATTTCTTATCCATGTTGGAGTCAAACAGAGTACCACATAATTACCTGATTATGCATTCCCTTGGCCACATGTATCAAAGTTTCCAACTTCATGTGAGAATTAAATATTGGTATGTGGTAACATTTCAATTTCACAACTGAGTTCTACCTATGGAGATCTAAGTCATAAATCACTCTAGGTTGGGAAAGGGAATGCAGTTTTTAATATTTTTTCTTGAATAATCAGATATTGCATATTTTTATCTACTGCCAGCACTGAGAATTTCAGTTTCTATTATTATTATTTTTCTCCCGAAGGCTCATAAAACTCTGAGAAAATAAGAGTTATGTGTTAATAATATTTTTAGTTTTTACTGTTCCTAATGAACATTTGGGGTGTCTTATTCACATAAACAATTTAATTTTGGGCCAAAATCTTTAACTTTAGAGTTCCTTTAAAACAGATGTTCTCTAATATTGGCATTTGCCAGTAAATAGATGAAAATGGAGAATATCATGCTAAGTGAAATAAGCTGGGCTCAGAAAATCAAGGGTTGAATGTTTTCTCTCACAGGCAGAAGCTAGAACAAAGTGGGGGAGAAAAGAAAGGGGGGTTGGATATCACAAAGATACAGGGAAGATGGGCTGGGGCTGTAGCTCAGTGGTAGGGTGCTCGCCTTGCATGTGAAGGCACTGGGTTCTATCCTCAACATCACAGAAAAAATAAAATAAAGGTATTGTGTCCATCTACAACTAAAAATGTATTTTTTTTTTTAAAAAGAGACAGGGAAGATCAGAGGAATAGAAGAAGGAGACTGAGAGGGAGGCAGGAGGGATGGAAAAGGGGAGAAAACTCAGTATAAATTTGATAAAATTATACTACATGCCTGTGTAAAATATACACAGAGAAATCCACCTTTATGTGTTGTACAAACCATCAATTAAAAATAAATAAATGAATGAATGAGAGGAAGACCAGTAGAGGAAAGGGAGTGGGGAGGGAGCAGTGGAACTGGGGGCAGAAAAATAAAATGGAATAAATCAAATTCCTTGCATGTATGATTTTGCCGAAATGAACACAACTATTATGCATAACTATAACATGCTAATGAAAGCAAAATAAATCAATAAATATTCTACTAAATGTATGCTATGACATCTACAGTCCACAGTAATTAAGTATACATCTCAAAATACCTAGAGGAGAAGAGTTTGAGGGTTTTCAACACACACAAGTGATAATATTTGAGGAAATGGAAATGCTAATTACTTTGATTTTATTACACTGAATACATGTATCAAATTATAACATTGGGCCCCCTACATATGCATAATTGCTATATAGCAATTAAAAATTTTTAAGTTGTTCTACAACTAGAAACAAAGAAAAGGAAAGCTAACTATCATTGCTAAAAAAAGATATGAAAAATAAATATTTTAGAGAAAGGAAAAAAACTAGGTTGAGCATCACTAGGGAGTTTAGGGCCAGCATTTCAGTTTCCTTGGCAAGTCATAAAAATGATACACAACAAATAAAATGGAGTTTAGCAAAAGGAATTATGGCAAACTGTATAAAGTATTTTACTGACACCTGACCTCAGGGTTAAATGCTTACAACTTTTTATTGTGGGACTAGCAAATATGGTGCTGTAAATAGCTGCATTGTGTTAAAGTTCTGAGCATGACAGTGACATTGATGGCATCACAACATAAGCAGCAGGGAAGATTTCTTTGGATTCTATGTGGGTCCTTGAGGGAGAGGAGGAAGCAACTCCCCATGAGGTCTAGACGATTTCTGATTCAAGAGTTACATCACATGGAGATTTGCCTTTTTAGTTACAATTGTGACAGATTTTACCAACTGATTAATTCATTTTTGGATCTATGTAGTTGTATTCTAAGATCCTTAACTTTGTTAAGGCATTGTCCCATTATTCTCTCCCTAAGAAGCAAGCTGTTACTAGAAACCATAACATCTGCTGTATTCTTTTTCCCTCTTCTCCACTTGCCACATCATTTGTACCCTGTTATGATTTTGTGGCAATGTTCAAAGAAAGGTAGACACTCACTCAATGAAGTAGACTTCTCCCTTCTCTGTATAGGCCATTTCCCAGTTATCAGGCAATGGATCCGAGTCCTCATTCTCTTCAGGCTTAGTTGGTTTTGTGTCCTCCATCTGTTCCTTGGGCTCCTCAGGCTGACCATACACAGGTGCAGGATAAGGCTGGGAGGGCGTCTCCCCTGAGGCACCTGCACTCTTGTCTTCATGTTCACTGGATTCTACAAGAACAAGAGCGTGTGGTTAGTCTCTCCAGCTAGGAACTCTGGGGTCAGTGTGAAATGCACCACACCAGGCAATACTCTCTATGAAGGCTAATGGGAAATACTGCACAACACAGGTGCTACAGGCAGAATAACAGAACCCTGAAGATGTTCATGTCCCAATGCGTGAGGCCTGGGCAATTTACCTTGTATGGCAAGAGAGGATCTGCAGGTGTGATTAAATGAAGGACCAGAAAATGAGAGTGTTATCTTTGATTATCCAAGTGGGTTCACTGTAATCACAAAGATCCTAAAAAGTAGAAGGGGCAGGCAGGTGTGGAGGAGATATGACAAAAGAAGGCCAAAGAGTTGCCCTGCTGTGTTGCAGCTGCCTCTGAAGACAGAAAAACAGGGGCACAAGCCAAGGAATATGGGCTGCTTCAAGATGCTGGAAAAGGCAAGAACTTGGTTTCCTCCCTAGAGATGCAGAGAGGAACGTAGCCCTGTCAGCACATTGATTTTAGCCCACTGAGACCCACACCAAACTTGTAACCTACAGAATGATAACATAATGCAAGCCACGAAATCTGCAGTGATGTTACTGAACAGAAACCTAATGAAACAGAATAAAAACTATAACAGATACATACCTTAATAGAAACAGTAACATTTAAGGAGGACAACCCCAACAACCCCAACAAGTAAATGTATAGTTCCAGAATGACAAAAAAGAACAGCATGGGAGGAAATAATATGCTGTACGTAATAGAAGAAAATTGACCCAAATTAAAGAAGTACTCAAGCCTGCACTGAATCTGAAGCCATATGAGTAAAACATACAGACCCACAGACACATTTTGATGAAATTTCCATTTGACAGTGTTAAAAAGTAGTTTTAGCAGTTTTCTCATTGAAGAAACAAGATTACTCACAAAGAGAAAAGGAAGAGAAGAACATGGGACCTTTCATCTGTCACACTGTTTAAACTCAGTATGGTAACATCTAGTCTAGATGAGTACAGCAACCCAAGAGCCTAACTCTATCCAGATATCTATCATTCATCCATGTGGGCAAAGAAAGTAATTCTCAAACATGCAGAGTTCAGAATGTGAATTACCCATGTGTCTTATCTGCGGACAACAGTGGGGGCATTATTCTAGCCATATCCTGATAATGGAATAGGACACAGATCTCAAAAAAGGAAGAAGAGGAAAATAAAAAGTAAGAAGAAAAAGAAATTCTGCAAAACACAAGTAAATGGTGGATAATTTCATTGCCCGAAATTTTGTTACGTGTCAAAGACAAGTTTTTGAAAGAGGAGAAAAATTTTACATGGAAAACCTTGTAACAGCATGGGTTCTGCACCTTTATCTTGGAAGAATTCAGGTTTTGGTGGATGGAGAAAAGGTCAGACATAAAGACATTCTAAAGGTCTCAAGAGGAGATATTTTAAAGGCTTCTTTCTCTTAGGATGGTATTATTAGGCAAACATTTTGGTCAAGGTGTAGGTCTAACTGTATAATGGAGATATTTTTAAAGTATCCCCTAAGGTATTTTTTTCCCTACATTATTTATGGTTTTCTTTTTCCAGTTAGCTTTTCTTTTTTTTAAAAAAATTTTTTTTAGATTTTGATGAACCTTTATTTTATTCATTTATTTATATGTGGTGCTGAAGATCAAAGCCAGTGCCTCACATACACTAGGCAAGTGCTCTGTCACTGAGTCACAACTCCCATCCCCGTCCAGTTAGATTTTCTGCCAGTAAGAACAGACCATAAGCCTTACATGCCAAGGAAGAATAGAGCAGATATAACCTAGAAAAAGGAGAAATCCTTAGGATAAATGAGAAGAAAATATGCTTCAGAAGCTTCCCCAAAGGGCCTGTTGAGCCTTGACACAGCAAGGAGAGCACAACAGAGATTCAGAGGGATGGGACTAGAAAAAGAGGCAACGTGGGGTGACTCTACAATTGTGTGGGAAATCACCTGCTGTGAAAATTAAAGTACATACACATATGCAGATGTACATATACTTTGACTCAGTTATTATACTATGAGGACATATCCTCTAGAAATAAAGGCATTGTTTATAAGAATATCTATATAATAATATTTATTTATTGTAGTATTGTTTGTAGTAACAACACCCTAGAAATGGTATGAATGTCTTTTAAAAAATATGATTAATTAAAATGTGTTTATCATTACTATGGAAAACTATGTGTTTTAAAAACAATGAATTAGATCTATATCCATTGACCCAAAAAGGTGTTTATAATGACTATTTGAAAGAGTAATTCAATGCATATTACTAATCCTATTTTTCTAAATAAGCCAACACCAAAGTCTCTAATTTTAAATTGCCTTACAGAACATGAAAGTAGTGGGGAATGATGTACAACAGACTGTCGATTGTGATTACTTGAGGATACTAAAATTGGACAGCGATGGGAGAAGTTTTCTTGAATATGTCTTTGCATATATTGGTACTTATTGTTAGAACTTTGAAAATCAGTAAAGATAACAAACAAGTAAATTGAAGTAGCAGTTCCTTAGATCAATTTTTTCCTTATCTGCATTAATCAAAGACAGCAATATTAAATTATCTTTTAGAAATTAGGAAACAAAAGAATACTATATAAGCTTTGATTGTCTTGCCCTTATAAAGGGGGAAGTTATGAAAATATTATGGCTGTTAGTGATGTAGTCTCCCTGATTCTGCATAGAGAGTCTAACTTTGTTAGTTGTGTAGGAAAGAAGCAGCACAAGGAAGTAGTATCATTCTCATTAAATTCTCTTTGCTGCAATATGTGGAACACATTGTGATATGTAAGTGGAACATACTGAAACCTCACGTTGCAATGAAAAGTTACAATGCAAGGTCAAGCTGATGCACTGAGTCAGTGTTCACTTAACAATATTTATTGAGTATTCCACTGGTGCCAGGCACTGAGGATAGAAGAGTGAACAAGGGAGGCATGATTCTTACTTTGATGAAATTCAAAAGAAGTCATGTGTAGTCTTCATATAATCTTATATCTTCATCCAATTTTAAGTGTGATGAGAGCTACTGAAAAAGTAAAGATGGAGTCTTACACATGGGTATTCACCTAATCTTACACAGTCGAGGAAAGCCTCTTTTCCAATAGGCTATCAAATCTGGGACTTCTTTCAGAAGGAAGTAAGGGAGAAATTGATAAACAGGTGTTGGATCAGGCAAGGCCTTACTCACATGGCCTCAGGATTTGGAACTGTATCCCAAAAGCAATGGGAAGGTATTGATAACTATCTAGGATTAGACAAAATTGGATTTTCATTTTCCACAAATATCCCCTCAACTGAGTGGGAACTTGAGGATGGCAAGAGTGGGTTTACAGGCCAGTAGTGGCTATTTTTGTGTGCTCTAGATTGAAAAAGAAAAAAATGGTGTTGTAGCTTGAGAATGGGAAAAAGCTGATTGATAAAATATTTGGAGTGTAGAACTTTGTTTGATTTCCAAAAAAGAAAAAAAAAAAAGACTAATAAGGAGAAAGGAAAAGTCCTGGTAACCCTGGTGGGAGGCGAAGTAATCCTCTGAGGGATGTAATGTGAGCGGAGCAGTGGGACTCTGTGGGAGAAGGAGGACAATGGACATGGTTTTGGACATGCTGAGTGAGAGGCCCCTGCCAATCCCACAATGGAGATGTCAAATCAGAGAGTTCTTGGCTGGAGAGGATCAACTCCAAAGACAACAGCAGATGGCTGGATTATATTATAATTTAAGCCATGAATAAATGAATTTGCCAAGAGAAACAGTATGAGAAGTGAAGACAAGATTCCCTAGAGCAGCTGTTTGAAAAACTCCAACCTTTAAGAGTCACTGTAAGGAGGAACTGGCAAAATGTTGATGAGGAAAGCAGCTGTGGAATTAATAAGAAAACCAGCTGACTGTGGTGCCATAGAAACCATGCAAAGGAGCAGAAAGCAATTGGCTTTGAACAAAGATTTGGAACAGTCCAGAAAGACAAAGATATAAAATAGGTAGAAAATTAACATGAAGGTCACTGGTAACATTAGCGACCTGCTATGGAAGTGTTTGCGGTAGAGTGATGGGTGATGCCAGATTGGAATGGATTAAAGAAGGATGAAAAGAAAATACAGAATTTGCTGATGGAGAATTCATTCAAGAGGGTTGGATATAAACAAATCAACTTTTCCCTACCATTGTATAATACTATTAAATTCTTGAGGGAAATGTCAGGCATCTCTTGGAAAAAAAAAAAAAAGCCTCGTCTTTGAAGAAGTCTAGATTTATAATTTATTTATGGTTATGCCAGAGATTAGTAAGCAAAGTGCTCCTTGTTTAACCCATTTATCATTCATTTCTTTATTCTTAATCAATCTTACGTGAGCATCCATGAGCTAAACTCCTATGATGTGCAAGATATTTGAAAAGGGCTATTATAATGGGGGAGTGAAAATTTTTTTTTTGTATCAGGCTCTGATGAGTGGGGTTGAGAGGGAAGCAGTAAGTAGCACCTGTCTCCTCCACCTGAACAAAGTAAGACTGTAAAATGAGGAAGGCAAATGGAAGACCATGACCTTCCCACATTTAGTATTCATAAAGACTAATCTAAGAATATAGTTATAGTGAGAGTCAAGGGCTGATGGTAAAACCAGAATCAGTCTAATTTATCTATTGGCAGTGCTGAACCAGGGAAAGCCTTCCACGTAGTGTCAGAACCTGTTCCCAGAAGAGCAAAACAGAGCATTTAGAGGAAGAAAAAGAGGAGTCGAGCCAAGCAGGCCTAGATAATTCTTCCAAGCAGTATCAATCAGATAAGACACTCCATCAGGCCTGGGCAGTGAATCAAGGGGCCAGGGGAGTTAAATACAGTAACATTCCTGGGAACCATGCGTAGTGGAACCATGAGAAGAAGCAAGAGAAACTAAGATAGTTTTCAGAGGACCTCCAATGTTAAGCAGAGAAGGATTTGGTCTTATAGTTCTTACATTACTGGGAAATGTCAAAAATTAATT